TACGTCCCAAGTGATCTGGTAAACGGCTTAAAGTGCTGCGCGGGAGAATCGTCCGTGGATGCAGGGGATTTTTTTGTTTTTTGCAGCATCTACTAAGAAAAATTCAACCTGCAAGCAGTCGCAAGCTTCGGCCTCCTTGCGGATCACATCCAGCACACTGTCCACTAGCTCTGCTCCTTCCGTATAGTGGCCTTTGGCCCAGTTGTTACCCGCACCGCTTTGACCTGAAGATTATGCTTGATGAACTCTGTTTTGTACCCTAAATTGAATTAGTAAGAAGAATGGCATGACGGAGTCAAATGCATTTATGTTTTTAGTGGAGCCGTAGTTCATACAGGGCTCTACAGGTCTCAAACACATTGTTTCTACTGAGGCAAATATTCTGTTGCCCCAACTTTACGCGAAATCTTCAGCCTTAACAATGTCGTACATTCGCGAATCGTCGAGCAAATTTTCCATGTAAAAACTGCCATTTGAAAAAGCAGTTAAATCTTTCAAAGAATTCATTATACATTGATCAGCATTCTTCAGTTGTGCTGATGTTGCTTTTCCAGTTGCCTTGAACAGCATAGCACTGCTCGGCTACTGTGTTTGTTTTTTCCAAATTACATGCAGAAAAACTTACCAAAAACAAAATTATCCGGTCGAAACAGTTGCCCAAAAGGACCAGCTCGAACGCTATCCATCGTTCCCGGCTCCAAATCCACCAGCACTGCTCTTAAAATAAGATGACGAATATCTGCGGTACAACTCTTCCCTTACTTGTACGCATATGCTGATCTTTGGGATTAGAATTTGCAATTTGTTCCTAAATTTTCTAGATCAGATTGTTTCCTGCATGGGGATTTCAATCCCAGACTTTTAGAAAATTACGTAGCGTCAAATCTTTGTCTTCCTCAATTTGTTGAGTTAGGAAAGGTTTAGCACTCAGTCCAGATGCTAGTTTTTTGAAGTCCAGCAGCCTCGAAGCAGTCCTAAAACAAACTCCTTCGCCGTCACAGCCTAGCTGAATAAATAATGGATATTACCTCGGCACGTATCGTTGTTTTTGGACTTCATTATAGTAAACGCAGATCCGCTCAAGTTGCAGATCGCTATCGCCGTGATACTGGCCGTTTGGATCGATCCCATGCTCATCTGATATTACCTCCCAGAACTGCAGTGAAAATGCATGTGGCTTTATTTGGAGGATTTGTTCTTCGGGCATTTTTTTAGGTGGGTCTTTTTCCAAGAGTGATCGGAAAATTTAGTTATAATTAAAAATTGATTATTATAATTACAGTACCAGCTGTTATCGTTATTATTATAATTATCATTGCTATTATTAATAACATTCCGCTATCGCTACCGTTATTTCTGTTGTTATTGTTAAACATTGTTGATACCATATTCTCAATTTTTACTTTGTTGTTGTTGCCACTTACTTCGTTATTATTACAGTTGTTATTACCATTATTGCTATCAGTATTATTTTTACCACTTCTATTATTACTATTATAAATAAGAATCAGCTACTGTTCGGCATTTTTATTGCTGTTCAGTATTGGTGATAATAGAACAAATATAATTGATAAAGTGCATTGCTTTCAAAATTGTGTTTCCGCCACTTATTTGAAAAGGCTGAATTTATTAATCTTTGGTACAAAAATCCAGAACATCAACCTTGGAACCAATCTGATTGCCACACTGACCAGCCTGAATGTGAACTATTTCGCGCATTTTCTTGAAAATTCTTCAGTAAATAAGATAGCAAAGCAAAATTTGATAATCAGTGATTTGAACAGCAGCACTAGTTTGATTTGATAATCAGTGGTACTTGTTATCGGCAGAGAAAGCCCTGTAATATCGCTTGAGATAAATTTCATCAAATTATGTGTGGAAAAGGAATTTAGCACAGAGACGCCTAAAATTTATAAATTTATTTTTAGTTATGAACCCAGACTGGAACGCACCGGGCGGGCCCGTGCGAT